CTTGAGACCGCGCGCGCGGGGGTGTATGTTGCGCAGCGCTGTGTCTTCTGAATAAATGAAAATGATTTAACACAGTTGTTTATACTTTTAGCAGCTCTTTTATTCCACAGCTGAGCTGCTAAAAATGACAGATTTTCTTTTCTGGATCTCTGACAGACGGACTTCAATCTCTGAACTCGTAAAGTTTTTCTTTTTAGTTTTCGCTGTAATTTTCATGAATGAATGGACACTTCCTTGTATCTGAGGCAGGAAACAGCCTTATATGGTGTTTTTGGGGTGGTAATTATGCTAATCACCTCTCGCGTGCAAGAGCAGCTGGATACGGACAGGTGGAATTTACGCAGCTCATTTACACACTTTTCCTGAAGATAGAAGAGTTTGTTGAATCTGACGTGACATGTTCATACGAACCCTTCGTACGAACAAAAGTAAGAGAAATTTAGCATAAGAATACGAACATGTTCTTGCATGAGGCCCATTGCTTTTTGTCCAGATGGCAGAGTGAGTGCGGAGTCAATCTACAAAGATCACACCGCACCAACAAGAAAAGGAGATCACATCTGTATTTTCTAAATAATTCAAAGGCAGACTATTTTTTGTTTAAATACTAGCTTTATTAATGAATATGTGGGTATATTTATACATACATGTTGTCAAAATTTATCATTCTGCTTGGGAAACAGATTGCGACATGCTTCATATCCATACACATAATATGTGGGTTTTATTTTGAAATATGGATTCGAAAAGACAAACAGTTTCAGCTGTTGTTTCCAGTCCGTCTTCCATAGAATTAATTTATTTGGTCTGGACTTACACATTTATCACTGTATTAATCGCACAAGATCACAATTCCTGCACATTCTTCAGTGCTTTGCACCGGAGCAGAGCCAGAGGCAGTGTAAACGGGGTGTAAATGAACGACAGCTTCTCTCACTATTCTCTTTCTTAGTGAGGATGAGTAGCCTGCTTTTAGTAAATTTAGGTAAGTTCCATTTTCCTTCTATTTGTTTTTGAAAAATTTAACTGAATTCTTGGGGATGGGTCTTTGGAAAGTATTTTTCTCTCTTCATGACATTTGATCCATACTTCTTACAAAGTTAAGTAGCCTTAATGGAAGTTTCACGTCGCCAAAATTCTGATCTTCGCACATAAGTGTGGGTGTCCCTGTGGAGTAGTTACTACCAACATTGTCTGGTCTGAAGCTTCCAATTTGAAACATTAATCTATGAAGAAAGTGATTGACAGCTCTGGTGGGAGTGGCCAGGTTTTAAGATTCTAAGGGTAGCCCCCCAGCCACCCCTCTGGCCAGGCCCCTGAATAGGAAGGGTTAGTTGGGGTCTGTATGGTAAACTCAGCTAAAAGATAAAGTTGTCATCTTCTGTCTGGGTTGTGATCTTTTGACCCCAGATGAAGTCATTGTGTGCGTTATTAGAAGGGGGTGCACATACTGACCCACCGTAGCACAGGGATTGTTTGAACAATGGAAGGAAGAGAAGAAGCTTTGTTCTTTTTCATTATTGTCACTGGTTTAAACTGTAGCATTTGTTTTACTTGGAGCATCAGTCTGTGTTTAATTGTAAGACAGGGCTATTCAACTGGCGGCCCGCGGGCCGGAGTGACCAAAGTTCGGTTTGCCAATTGGTTCATTCATCTCTTAAGCTCAAGCCCCCGGTTTTCCACTTTAATTACTCTAAGTTATTTTAGTTAAACGTAGACATGTTTGGTGTCTACAGAAACGTCAGAATCTTGGCTAGAAGCTGGTAAAAACATTTCTGTGCACACTCAAGACAGTTAAAACTACAAACAGTTGAAGATAAAACTATAAAAGTGAAAATAAAATTGGTTTAAAAATTTGGCAAGTCAGAGATGTCAAAATATTTTGTGGTAAATAAGAGGCATAATAAGTTTCTTTGTTTTTTGTTTTATCATCACTACGTTTATTAAATAGGCTTCTATGTGTATTCATGATTAAATACAGCAAAAATAAACTATTTCAAAGGTAACAGATCTTTTTAATACTTAGTTTATTTACATAACAACTTTAATTGCTGGATGTTCGGCCCCTCAGCTGTTGGTCTGCATTAACTGTGGCCCCCGGAGCAGTTTAGTTGAATAGCCCTGTTGTAAGGTGTCCTTAAGAGTTTTGAAAGGCACCTCTAAATAAAATGTATTATTATTATTAATATTAAGACTAAGGGGGGAAAAAGCATGTCATTACTGGAAAATGTACAGCATTCTAAACTAACCTTAAATATAAATAATTGGATTTACAAGTTTATATTTATCATTTGTGTTGTTTGGTCATTTGTTTTATTATGAACTAATCATTGGTGTCTTTGTAAAATTTGCCAAATCATTACTTTGTGGTTTTGTGTTTCGTTATCTGGTAACAACTAAAATAAACAACAAAATCCTTACAGTTTAGAATGGGGATTCCACTGCACAGATTTTAATAAAAAAGGTTTTAAAAATTCCTACCGTTAATCTATGGATGGCTTCATCTCTCTCATGTTTTATTTTGTTGTACTCTGATTTCTTGCTTTGCAAAATGTGGATCTCCTAGAAAAAAAATGCATTAAAATCACTTTAAGAGGTTGATGTATTTTTTATTATTATTGTCAATATTCCATCCATCCATCCATCCATCCATCCATCCATCCATCCATCCATCCATCCATCCATCCATCCCTTTAACCAAGCCATTTTTTGGGTTGCTGGTGCCTATCTCCAGCAGTCACTGTGTGAGAGAGGCATGGTCCATCCTGAACAGGTCACAAGCCCAACACAGGGTCACACAGAGAAAAACTAAACAACCACTCACACTCACACTCAGGGATTTGCATGTTTGTGGTCTGAGAGGAAACTAGAGTATCCAAATAACACCCTTCTAGTTGGGAGGCAACAAATTTCACTTTTAACCACAATATCCCATGCAGCTAAAATAGATTGTGAGCAAAGCTGATGATAAAGGGTAGCATTGCCCAACCTTATCCTTGGCCTTCAGCAACGCCTCCAGCTCCTCCAGCGACTGAGTTAGTTCATCCTTCAGCAGATCACTGGGTCCGTGGCCTCCATGGGCTTCTAGTTCAGCCACCTTACAAAAGCAAAAAGGCATGTTTACACAAAACAATTTATGTAACATTAAAGCAATTTAATATTGCTTAAAGGGACCTGTTCAAGTTCTTTATTGCACCCTGCCGGAAGGATAAGGCAGACAATAATTGTTAGCAAATTACCTCATGAACCCCTTGACAGATTTTAGTTAATCGCTGACAAATTTTTTAGACATACAACTAACTATAGAACTAGCTTAATTAAACATGGCTGTCACTGACAAATAATCTGAGCAAACACAAAAATTGTTAGAATAAACACAAATTTACAGATATTGTTATAAAATTTAGAGTGGTTACACTGAGATTTATTCACAACACATACTCCAAGTGATACTCATTGCACAAGATCTTTGCTTAAAACTTTAGCATCACTCCTGTTTGTTGGCAAAAAAAATCTGTTGAACCACTGGATAAATTATATTGAAACTTTCAGAAAGTAAATATTGATTGTACACTTACAGCTGATTATCTTTTGGAGTAAATTTAGTTCAACATGGCTCACCCTGCAACCCTAGCAAAAACTAAGGCATTCTTGAAAAACAGATTTTTAATGATTTTTTTTCCTGTTTAAATTGATGTGATAGTATCTGAGTCATTCACAACACATACCCTGAGTGTAATGATACAGTATTTCATCAGATTGTGCAATATTTTCAAGGTTTGACCAAAATGGCTAAAACCTGGTAATTTCTCAAGATGGTCTTAATCTAAAACTATGACATATGTCCGTATGGCCAGATAACAACTTTTCAAATGGCGACCCCACTTGAAATATGGGGTCTACTGCAAAACTGTTTGCTAGCGCAGTGTAGGTCGGCAACATCTGTATCCCTACCAAATTTCATGCTGCTAGGTGCAGTCGTTTCTGTGCTACGGTTGACCAAAAATCTCTGAAAAAACAAAACAAAAGACAGTCTGAAAACAATAATGACCCCTGCTTCACGTAGCGGGGGTCATTTTTTATGCTGAATGATTACTTAATAAAAGTTTAATTAAAATCTATTTGGTGGTTTAGGAAATCCCCTCCCAAAATATTTTTTTTACTCAACATGAAATTTGTTTCTTGTATCAATGGTAAACTTTAAATTTATGGTTAATATGCAACAAAATTAATTTAATAAAAATAAATGAAATAAAAATAAATTAAAAAAAATTCCTGTCCCTGAGCTGTCGGCTTGAAGTAACTGAGCAATTTAGTTGTATAGCACAGTACTAA